TATATATATATATATATAGATGGGTGTGTGTAGAACATTATTACACTGAATTGACAATACTGTTGCGCGGCAATGATACTGTGAACGCTGGTCATACTAGTTACAGCTGATTGACTCGCCGTTGTTTTCTACGCGCACAGCATCACGTAAAATGGTGCATACACATAACACACATACATACAAAAAATTTTCATGTTTTACGTTTTCGCCTTAGGAAAAAAGATACATAAACAATGGAGACATCAATGATATACAATGGAGATATCTCCTAGATAAAGTTGTCCACAATTTATCTGGAAGTGAAGAATTGGATATTAAACAATTTCTAGTAAATATAAAAACAAGACATTTAAAATTATATAAAAGAAATTGGATTAAATTAAATTATATATTGTTATTAATTTTGATAATATATTGTCATCTAAAAAGTATCCGCGGTTTTTTGTCACTAGACAAAAAAGTATCCGCGTGTGTGTTAATGGTCATATATCTAGTGACAAAGTACCGCGGATACTTTTTAGGTGACCCAATACAATAGAATGGGCCCCTCCATCGCCCATTCCCGTGAAACGCAACCAAACGTTTTCTCTCGTTTCTCCGTTGTTGTGCATAACATAGGCAAATCTTCCCGTCTATGACACACATATTAAAAATATTTATGTCAAAGTTATATATTTTCTTCTAACCGTTCTATCATATCACAATGTATGATTACATTTACGTATAAAAGTATAACAATATTCTTTGAAATAATATAACAAAGAATATTTATTCTCTGAGAATATTCTCTGGGAAAAGGCAAGAGTGTATTACTTGCTATGATAGAAACAAAGTGATGTCTCATTAATTCAACGTTTTTGGAATATTTCTCTTTGCAAGGATTTTTATCCAAGGCTATATCCGTTGCAAAAGCCGCAGCATATATTTCACAAGACGTACCATCTGATTGCGTTTGAACTTTTTCAAACTGTATGTTGGTAGATATTACTTGTGGAAAACGAGCTTTAATGTATTGTCTTTCTTTCGACGCCATTTTATCGTATGTACAGCCAGATATGCTATCATATACATACAGTTTTGTTTCGTCAAAAAAGATGCAGTGCCAGTGATCAGTACAATTTCCTCCAAGTATTTGGATACTTTTGCGATCACTGGCTATAATTAATTCTGGATATTCTATATAATGTACGCTTTGTGTTTCGAAACAAGATTTTTTTGTCAAAATGCGTAAGAAAATATCCAGTGAATCATCATTTAATTTACTATATTTAGACAAGACATTTTCTTTCACAGAAGAAAGAGGTATCTGACGCTCGTCTAGAATTCTTCTACGACTTGCCATTTCATCTGCTGTCGGAATATAATTAGTTATATGACTAACAATAATACAGTCATCTGGCTCTATCACAGCAGTAGAAATAGTAATACTTTTTTCGGTTGAAATATTATTACATTTCAATCGTTTTTATTTTTTGTTTTTTCCATCAAAATAAAAACGTGTTAAAAAAGGCAACATTTTATTTTGCCAAAAGTCATTGTCTCTATAAACACGCACTATTTTCATGCTTTTTGGTGTCCATACAGCGAAAATGCTATAATCGCGCTGTGTTATATTTAATTGACCCTGTACTTGATAGAAGAACCGATGATTTCGGTTCATTTCATTTGGATCTTTTTTATTAAATATACCTTTCAATCGAGGCAACGTGTGAATAGCTTCCTCCGCTGTTAAATGTTCAGCAGAAAGAGGACATTTGATCTCCACGAGACCATTCTCCTCGAGAAGCCCATCAGGAGAAGCACCCAACCACTGATTGTTAGAATCAATAAACAATCCGCATAGTTTTATATCTTTCTTTAATATTTCAAATAATTTCTGTTTTGCCATTTCCTCCATATCGCGACCATATTTCATGGCTGCTGTATCGATGAATGGAGGAAACAAGATATTTTTAACGGTTGCTGTACAAGACGTTGTTGGTCTCATACGACATACTGTTCCGAAATTTGATGCTGTCAACATTATTTTTCTCAATGACAACCATAATTCACTATCACTTTGCTCTCTGGTTTTGCGTTCATTTTCTTTCCAGTTTCTGGCATTTTCGAACAATTCTTCCATATGTCTTTGTTTTCTTTCTTCAAATATTTCAGAAGATACATCTGGTTTTTGCGATTGAGGTCCATAATAACCATCTGTTTCTATGTTTTTTTTAAATTTCTTTTGTTTTCCATCTACTTTGCGACATTCTCTGGTTCGAGCTATTTTGATTTGTCGTCGCTTTTCCAGATTCTCGATAATAGAAGGAGCATTGTCACATACGTTTTTATGTAATTCTGTGAGAGCTTGTTGTGTGTTATGTTGAACAACAGCTGCTGCAATTCTAGTATTGTAAGAACCACGTGCACCATAAAACACGCGCTTTCCACCAACTTCTGCGTAGACTATCGAGTGAAACGATTCTGCTAAATTGTTAGTCACATTGAGCAACAAACTGTCAGCATAAGCACTTAGGTATGTGATTGCATCCTGTATTTTGGGATAAAGACCATACAATTTTAGATTCGGAACATAATTTGTATCAGCGATGTTCTCGCATGTACAGCCACGTTCCTTACACTGTTTGTGCTCTCCAAAAATATGGCTAGGAACATTTATTATATCTTCTCGTAATTCCTTAGCTAAATGATGCTGAGGTTGCTCCTCTTTTCTTCTGCATTCACTTAATTGTACAATTTCATTTTTAATTTTTGATATATTGTTTTTCACAATATTTCGTGATTTTATAAAGTCACGACTTCTACGTAACTTTGGTTCTGTTGCCTCTGCGACTATTTTTACATAAGTTTCGAAGCAAGTGATTAGTGCATTCTACTTTTCGCACTGTTATCATTTGCTCTCGATACGGATTGCAATTTTTGATAGATTGATACACATTGCTATCGCCATCAGCAATGAGTGTTCTAAAAATCACTCCATGCATTGCAATGCTACGTGTGAATCCTTCAGCAATAGCATCACTTTCCATGCGTGCAGAACTAACGTTGCGGTCGAAATTTTTAAAGCATTTATGATTTTTTGCTTCGAGACCTTCTCGTTCCGCCATATGGCATACCGTACAATACTTGTTGAATGCCAATAAAGAGAACTTTCTTCGTGCGGTAACCAACAATAGCTCCAGCTCCGGAAAGTGAATCATAGGCACTATCTTTGCCATATGACCTCTTTGCCCAACTACCATCCGCTACAACGGTTATGTACGGATAGTTGTTGATTATTTCATTTCTCTCTACAGCGAGTTGAATTTCAAGTTTGCCTGCCATTTTCATATTTTCAATGGCTGTTTTTTCAAATTCTTCGAGTACAATGTTTCGATGTTGGATATATGTTT